AAACAGATCCAGTCGAGTGTGACACCTCGAAATGAGAAGGATAACTGCAGCTGCCCAGTTAGCTGCACGCGGCCACCACAGGCGCTGGTGGCGGATTGAAGGGTTGAGTCGAGTGGTGGTTTGCCAAGGGATCGCCAGAATTTCTCAGCGATTATCTTGATGTCCGAAGCAGTGTTCAACTGCAATCGAACAGGCTGCCCATTCCTCCGGACGTCGACGAACTTCCTGCGGTTAATGTTGACTTGGAAGGTGGCGAGCAAGCTCATGGAGCTGCCAACCGGACTAGTTTTGGGCGTACGTCTGGATCGTGACCACTTCGTTTGACTACGGGTGGGGGCCAGGCCAGGTTTGACCCCCTTGGATTGTGCGGAGCTGCGGGTGTGGGCCAGCCCAGGTTTGACCCCTTATGCCTCGTAGGATTGCAGTAATCATCACGGTGCCTCACCCTGCCACAACACTGGCATCTGTGCTGGCGTAAGTTGCAGTCTCGATGGAGGTGCCAGGCGTCGCAGAATCGACACGGATAGGGTAGGGACTTCGCTCTGTTGGGTTGGGTAGGCCACCCAGAAGATTGCGACATTGGTGCTGCGACTGCCTGGACCTGACCAGGTACGGGAGAATTCTGGATCATCGCGGAGTCATCTTTCAGATTGATCAGCATTTGACACTCTTCGACCAACTTTGCAGTGTGATCGTGTTGTCCTGATGCTATTTGGACAGAAGGCGGATTGGAGGTCAGAAATAAAAACCAGGCACTTGAACTGATCTGTAAGGGAGCTAAGTTGGAATCGTTCGCATTCCCGATTGACGATGCCCGCATACGTGATGAAATCATCGGCATCCTTCTTGGCCAGCTACAGACATTGAAACCTGGGTGTTGAACAGCCAGCACTGTTTGCCAAAAATCTGTGACAACGTGCGGACCGTCTCGACAAAGGTAAGGTCACGGGGGTTCTTTGGCAAGAGGAAGTTGGTATGCCATTAGTGCTCGACCGTGTCCAGTTTGCGCAGAAGCAGCCGGACCTTCCACGCGTCATCCTAGCAAGCCAGGTCAACGGTGAATAGGTCCTCGTACCGCTTATACCAAGAATCGAAGGTGACATGAGCGCCAGGATCGTACAGGAACTCCGAGATACTGCCAGCAATATTGTCAACCGATTGAGAATTTCCAGCGGAACCTGACTGAATGGAAGAACTGGAAAGTTTTTCTGTTAAGGCAGACATCAAATTGAGCTGTTGTTGAAACAGCGACTTAAAATCATTGTACGCAATCTCCATGGTTCGAAGCAACCCGTCGCCACTTTGTTATAACTGCCTCTTGGTTACGCCACGCTCTGACGATCTGGTATCAACTCTCCTAGTCAGCCGAACGTATGTGGCTTGGAACTATTTCACGCACGACAAACTAACCAACAAGATTCGAACTTGTACGACTCGTGAGACTTAGGCGCAACACGCTTACTACGCTCGAGTTGAACGGGCTCCTAGATCGAACACAGTTTCACACGCAACTACCCATAACCGGGAGAACAAGACAAAAGCAGGCCTTTCGCGTAGGCACTTTCACCGGCCAGGCCCAGATCGATTACAGCGCATTCCAGCGTTTCTTGTATATCTCGATGGTGCCAATAGTTTGCGTAAGCAAACCATGGGAGCAACTGAATTGGTACTACGCAAATATGCCAACGGAACATGTTGAAAAGTGCATGTTGGTAGATGCGGAAGCTGGACTGGGAAAGGGAATGTTTCTTAGGTAAAAACGGCTGAATCTTTTGGCCGGAAACAGGGATGTTTTCTGAGGTACAAAAGCCTATCGAAACGTGAATGTCGCACGAGTTGGAAGGCTGATCGAAACGTGCACTTGTCTGCAGCGAGTCTCATTGCCTTGTGATCATTGTGGGGACGTTTGGTCCCCATAACAGCGGTTCACGTTTGGTAGGCACTGCTTTCTTTTCAGACACTAAGCTGTGAACTCCATGGTTTCTCACCCAATGTTTCCACCGGTTGTGAGCGAAAATTTGCGGGTGATCAAAGACGACCATATCGAACTGGTCATGTCTCTAATCCGTCAGCTTTTTGCCGCGTTGTATGCTCAACGTTTGGTCGATAGGCTGATATGCAGTCCTCTCCATAGATGATAGAGACTTTGGAAGGCCACATGGGTGTTTTTGTCGTCTGAAGCGACATGCTAGGTGATTTAGTCACTAAGTTTATGCCTATCCGCGTCAAACAGTCATACCTGGTCATAGCTAGTTATGTACAATTTTTCAGGAGCTATCTCGGCGATGTTTGTTTGCATCAAATCTTCATGTTCCACTTTGTATTAGCCAGCCACAGAAACCGACTTCATTACCATTGCATTTTGCCTCATGCAACAAACGGGGATGGTCTTTCATCGATCGTTAAACCATAGAAACTTGGCTAACAGTAAATTCATCCCAGATAGCTGTGACGGGGACAAGAGGATTGCAATTCGTCTCGCCCATCGAACCGTAAAGACGATGTCCTTGGCTTGCCATGAGGATGCCTAATGCTACTGTCGAGTTGTGGGACCTTGCCCATTAGATTGGCAGACATAAAGAGACTGGTTACTTTCGACCACCAGTGCCTTCGCAGTTTGGCTGATATCTTGTGGGAACGCCGTGTGAGCAATGAGTCTGTTCGCCGCCTTGTTTGTGAAGCAAGAAGTGGAAGTGAATCGCTCAGCACTGTTATATCACGCACCAGGCTCCGACGGTTGGGCCCTATGTTGCGTATCCCAACCCGCCGATTCCCATCACGTGCGTTGTTTTCGCGCCAGGCGTGTGGATGGAAAACGAGATGAGGCCAAACGATGAGTTGGTCAAGAGGAATGAGGGCCCTTAGTTCGAGGTTGGCCTCGGTTAAGGCGTCTCGGCTCCCTGGTTGGCGTCCGAAAGAGGATAAACACGTTTGACATGGCTAGGAGCGGACCTCAATGGTGTTTGTATTGTGTGTTTCTTTGTCCCTCCCCCTGCCTCTCCAAATATGATCTCATTTCTTAGACATAATACAGCCTGCTGGTAGCTCTCCGGAACGATGCCCATCCACTACTGGTGGCTCAGATGGCGTGTCTCGATTTCAGGTTCTTTTCTTTTCTTATCAGAAAGAGAACTACGAAGATATTTCTTTTCGATAAGTCACATCAAGCAACTACAATTACGAAGTTCATAATCATTCGAATAGAAGCTATTACTAGCGGTATGGCGATCCGTCGTATATGCCGCGACCGGAGGAATGGTGGCAATAGATGTCAATTTAAACTTGCTGCCATTAACCATTATACCTGAAGTAAGCTGACTAGGCTAGGGCCACGGTCGTGTTAAAATGTGCACAAATACACGCTGCTTACACAGTTTCGGCTTGAGTCGCTTGATCGCAATCGCTGTGGCCAGTAGACGCTTTCTGAGTCCCTTTGCGCATCGTTTTGATGCCACATACACTATTGAAAGCATCTTTCGTTGGTATGTCGAGTCCACTGTCTATTAGGTGTTGTAGGATGGTGCTGTGGACATTCCTGGTGGTACTAGGTTGTAATGTGGGGGACAGCGTTCCGCTATCCGCTTTGACAGACGTCTGGTCGTGTGTCCGAGGTATCTCGCGCACAGTTGCAAGTGAACTGATATAGAATTAAAGATTCGGACTGGGCCGAAATTCTGGCTTTTACGCGGTGGGTGATGAGCGGAACACTTTCGGTGTGAATGCAGACTCTGGCGGCCGGTTTGGTTCAACGCGGAAGTCAATTTCTTACTTATTGGCTCGAACTGTATATCTCCTTTGAAAGGTACTGACAGGAAAACACCCTTTCTCCTCACGGTTATTGTTGCCTCAGACTCCGCCCGGAGCTAGGAATGCTTTTTGACGAAAGCCGTTGAGTACCCGTTGCTTTCCAGTGTCTTGAGTATGAAATCCTTTTCCGCTTCCAGCGTCTCTGGACTGCAAATCTTTGTAGCCCGATAGTACAGGCAACATACCGAGTTTCGCTTGTACTTTATCGCTACGTAATTGCGGAAATGCGTGTACTGACCTACCCAAATCGTCTTCCGGAAAACCCTTTTTTCAAGCGATCCCTCCTCTCGTTGTCGCAGCTAAACAGCCAACAAAGACAGCCTACCGTCCTCAATCTCACAGGTGAATTTCAACGACGGGTGCGCGTTGTTAAATTGATTCAACAGATGAAAGTGATCATTACACGAGTCACAAACGATGAATGTATCATCCATGTAGCGTTGTGTTTTGCGACATAATAGCTGTTTTTCACCTCTGACTAAAGTGTATGATAATGAGGATGCCCAACTCGTTGTTGTCCACAGCTTCACCTTGAGCATGCAAGACATGCGTTGTATTCTTCACATTGCATAGTTTTAGCTTTAGCTGTCCAGTGGAAAACATAAAGCGTAACCTCCATCGCTGTTTCATACGTGGCAGTGTTTTGGGATGTAACAGAATAACCAGGTGAAAGCATTCTGTCCCTTCTAATTCTGTCATTTTGGTTTGCGCCCATTCTTTCTTGCGATCCAGGCAAGAAGCAATATTTGGCCAGAGGGTTTTTCTTAAGCTGTTTCGAACCATTCTACACCAGGTCGTCACTCTGAGGTCCGATATTCCAATTTTTTCACTTATTGTGGTTCACCTGCTTACAACCAGGATGTAGTCTTTACCCTGGACTGTGACTGTGTTCATGAATTGCTGCAACAGCCGATACATTTTTCAGTTACGAGCTGGAAGACACGGTACTTTTTCCCGTTGAACTTGCAAATCAATGCAAATTTACTTGTAACTTTACTGTTTGGTAGGTTGCTTCACTTCAGTTGTTTGAATATCGGGTCGCTTCGGTCATCGCACAGGTCCATTTTGATCAGGTTGTATTACTCATAAACTAGTTATCAGCTAGCGCTACTCGACCTTTTGATGAATTGCAACGTATTTCTTCATTCCATTTTATCCCGTTTTGTGTCGCGGCATGGTGCTCCACCGAACAGGTTAACTCCTGGAGAACGTTGGCTCCCTCTTCGGTTTCATTGTATTGCCATGCTGCATATTCTTGCCGGCGTGCCAGCATTGCCTCCCGATTCAGATCAGTCCTCCGATCCTACTGCGGCTGCTGCTGCTGCTGCTCAGCTGTTCCACTAACTGGAGCCGCTTTGTCTCCTGCTCACCGACTGCTCGTTCCAAGTCTACCGTTACTACTGGATGTGTTCAAAATGGTGAATTTCAATCGCCGGGCGCCTACACCTTCCAGAACTCCTTTCGATCTACGTCTGTTACTCCACTTCTCTCCCAGTCAGCGCAAAGAGACCGCATGTTTGGATGCTATCGTTAGCTGGTTATTCGATTTGCTTGCCGAAGCAGCAGCGATTCATGCAAATTCGATCGCTTTTCCGGAGTTTGTTCACCCGCTTATTCATGAAGTAAGCTATTGTCCAATACATCTTTTGATTTTTGTACCGTAGTTGCCAGTTGCTTCTATGACTTTCACCTATCCCTGCTACGTCGGAATACTTCGTGGTGCTTGTCCGTCATCTCTTCAGGAGCTACCCGAGGACTGAGTGATTCCATCGGTCATTTGTAATACACTACACTGCAGGACAACAATGTTGTACTTTCAACCATAGTCCAAAGTAGACCTACTTACCTGCTCGATGGTAGGCGGCTGCATTCTGAGTCAGTCACTTGCATTTCTACCTGAAAATTACTCACTAGCAGCAAAGCTTTGAGACTGAAATTGAAACGTTACCCCTTGGTGTGCTCTCCATTCATAAGATCAAATAGGAACTACTAGCGTTCTATCAACAGGGAGTGTTGCCACAGAGACCTAGGAATCAGCTTCTGTCCACCTCTGCTAACCACAGTCTTCATGCTGACTTTGTTGTTTCCTTTGCATTGAATTCAGTTTTGATTCGGTGATATCCCTTTCACAGATTTTTTAAATTGTTACCTAAGCCGTTCCACTAAAGTTTATTCCGCCTACCGTGGTGACGTTGAAGTGACAAAACTCACCCTCAATGTGACCCCCCACGAATCGGCACAACTGAATTAGGATGAGGCGCCTGATTTAAACGTTCTTCCACTACTATGGTTGAAGGACAGTGGCGACTCACTAATGACCTCTGGTTTATCCGTTTTGGCGCTGTCTGAGACCAAGGGGATTACTCGTGTCCACAAAGACGCAATCGTGCGTTCAGTCAGCCGGAAGACTAATTTCTCGATATACCAAGACGGGAACTTTCACCTTGCTCTTACAGTTGCGTAACATCTTTGACAGGGTCAAGCACATACAGTTGAGGGAGAAGCTACACGAAGAATAGATAGCTCTACGAACGACATGTAAAACAAAAGTTGTTAAAATTCTTCGTCGCAGAACCAACCACCACTCCTCTTTGCTCGATGGACTGGTTAATGCAGACAGATAGTCCCTTCATGACCCAGCTGACATCTGCGAGGCATATAGCTCCTTTTTCGCTACCTCTATGAACCTGGAGACAACGAACCCCCATAAAATGAATGCATTGAGGTGCAAACTACCAACGCCTTGTGAAAAGTTGAATTTTCTATCAATACTATCCAAAATGTAATGAATTCTATCAAACAGTCTTCCTATTTGTATGCCGGTGGTAGCACACCTGTCGTCACAAAACTGGGAGGGCCTGACATTCCGTTGTTATTGCTAAAGGTATTTACCCTATCGTTGGAATCAAGCTACTTTCCAGATCAGTGGAAAACATCGCTCATCACCCTCCGTCACAATGGTGCCTCCAAGCAAAAATTTGGCTATTACCGGACAATCTATCACACCCCTGTATTAGCCAGGTTACACTGTGCAACATCCTTTTTATAACAGAAATGAGACGGGATGTTTCTAGTAGTACCAAGTGAGCTGCTTACGAATATGCAGAACAAATATTTTTACCACGTTTGATATTTTTTGTCAAAATAAAAGAATATTGTGTCAGGTGTACGCCGTAACGGCGCTTCGTTGCCGCGCTGCCACCACTAGTCGCGAGGACGCCCACTCATACGCGGGTTCGAACCGGGGACCTTATGGTTGCAAATCAGGTGCGCAGACCACTCGGCCACCGGCCGACTGTGGTGCAAAAAGTGCTCGCTATCACATTCTGCTTGATGTCATCTTAGAGGTTGCCGTTATTGGTACTTATCCTCTTCGAAACTTTCATTCCTGTGTTTCATCGATCTTAAGGCATTAGTCTCTTATGTACGCTAGGATTGATGCTCCGTATGCCGATTTAGTAGGCGTGCCAAAGTTCAGCTCACCACTCTAATCGAAATTGCCGTTCTCACCAGTTCATCTGCTTTAGAGGTGCCACAGTTTTCGAATACCTTTTTTACCGAAGGGGTTTGTACTTTGTCCCTACGCTACTCCACAAAGTCTATGAGCTACGATTGCTCTTTCCTGTAAATTCTTGAGTGGAATGTCTGTACATTATCTTAATACTGCGAGTCCATTAATTGTCTTTAGTATGTCATCCTCTTCATGTCCTCACACTTTCATGAGCGTTCGCCACCCCGCCAATCACCGCCGGCTCTGGTGATCCTTTAAATTTACCACATGGTATGCTAATCGTTTCGTTATCTGATGCGAGTGTGACTTACAACGCACACGGCGCCATCAATTCCTTTTCAGTAAGCGTAGGATTATTTCGATCACGGTGGCCACACCTGTAATAGCCACAGTAACATTAGTCTGCGCTACTCAATTATTCTGTCGCCGATCCCATTGTTGCACTCGTGGGCTAGTCGTCTACTTCTCTGCCACTACAATATTCACTGTCATTGCCAGATCCATCCGGTTACTAAGGCGCACCATTGTCCGTCATTGCTCTCATTTGAGCGCATGCTTTGAGTTGTTGTCGTCGTCCCATATTTGCGCACATTTCGTCCCCTCGCTCCATTCGGTTTCGTCATGTGTCTCCATTCCCGCTCCTTCCATTTTGATCACTACTGCCGCTTACCTGCGGTTCTTGAGCATTCTAACACGTACCCCGACCTGCTCTGTGATAACAGCGGTGTGTAAGCGTCTGATTGTTCTTCATATGCATATATGTTTTGGCTTTGTTACTGTTTTTTTTAGTCGACTATAAGTTTTTCCCACTGGTAACCAAAGCACATGTTCTAGACTGCCTTCATCAACTGAGATTGCGGTGGTATACGGCTTTCTGATCTCACCTTTATCTCACCCACCCAACTCATTCACTGACATCAGTGAGTGCGTCATCCATGAGCGTAACATCAGTGTTCGGCTCTTGGCAAAACATACAGCTGTTTGTCCTCTTCACGTTCTCACAAATCACCCCCTCTTATCTGTTCTCATTCATTACTATTTTAGCTGAAATTGTTCTGCCACACATGTCGAGTTTCCTCTTTCACGAGGCAAATGAAGGCACTCCAAACCAAGCTTCGCGAGCATGCCGAATGGATCGCCATCCGCCGTCGTCGTCTACGAAACCTCGCTAATCCGGAGGAAATAGTGAGTACGGTTGTGCGGTTATCGTCTTCCAAAGTTATCAGCAGTTTATAGTGTGCACTATTCTCATTGTTACCATCAGCGCCAACGGCTCTTTTACATCGGATGAAACCCTGACTGCTTTTGCGAAACTGTAATAAATAAATTTTTACTCTTGTCAGTGCCTCTATAAGCATGATCATAGTAGTGCAAATAAGATTGATAGATACTTGTAAAAAATGTACAATTGCCAGTAATGTACGGGGTCTGTGTGCTTATGTGTGAGTGAATTTACGTATCTGTGTTGCCTGAATGTGTTAGTTTGACATTGCGTTTGGTGTTGTGTTCAGTCCGGTCGTCGGCAAGAGAAGGGTTCGAAGGAACTCTTCGGCTTGGAGGACGGACGTCTATTGAATGAAGTAGCTGCTACGGCTAAGCGAAGGGCAGTGACGTTATTTGGTGGCGAGTCACATCCGCCACGTCACAGTATTGTTAAACAGAGTTATGTGGTTTTTTATAGGGAGAACGCTTACCAAGTGTTAACTCACCACGTCCTGGAACACTGCCGCCGAACCACTCGCTGGAACGAGATTAATCCGTACCACCCAGCTGGCACCACGCGGAGGTTGTTCGGCGAACAAGTTTGCTCTCCCGATTCTTATCCTGGGCCTTCATCTAACTAAATATCTCCTCCATGTCTAGGGACTCAGTCACATCACTGTATCGAAGCTAACTCTTTCTGTTACACTCAAGATCAATCACCGTGTTTCAGTTTTTAAGCTTGAATCCTCTGTATTTGGTGACCATTGTACGTGGCTTTGTTGAATAATTTGGCCACCGAGATCTTCACACAGAGGTGGTTGTCACACTTTTTCCCAGTTGCAAGCAATAATAGTTCCGTTCTCGTTGTGGTATCCGACGCGGAATGCTTATTGACGTTCTCATACATCTCCGATCGTATGAACTGCAAACTTTTTACCTGTTAGTGACATGTTTCACACAAACTCATTCTCAATGTCCTCCCCCATTGATGGTTGGAGAATCGCTTCGCTCTACCCTCTCGAATCTCAGCTATTAGATTCATAAGCTTAATGAATACAGGCTTGTCTCGGTTAACGTACGGTTCGAACTTTGTGAGTTTTACCTAAAGGTAAGAACTACCACCCCTACTCGCCCATTTCCTGCCTTCCGTCTCAAACGAAGTAGTCACTGGTCAGTGGGATGCATCCTTGCTGAAATTCTCTCATGGTTGTCCTTGATCGTGCATCAGTTGTCGCATTCAACCCTGTGGCTGAGCTCTCGACCCATTCCGACCTACTTCTCCGCTTCGTGTATCAGACTCGCGCTCACTAATGATTCGGGTGCTTCGCAGCCTCCAAGATCATTCGGTTTGTTCCGAAGCAGCTTTGCCACAGTCACGTTTAACCGGACAGCCAACGCACATTCGGGAACAAACTAAAGAATCTTTTATGCCTTTTGCGACTCATCAGCAGTGCAAATCCTTCTTACCCATAGTGATTATAATTTAGTCATCGTCTGGGCTGGCTTGTAACATTGGCAAGTGATTGGTGGTCCATCTGTGGAATCCGTATCTCAGCTGCCTCCTTTGTTTGTGCACTGGAAACGCGCGTGGCAACGTGGGGTTGAGTTGCGCCGTATCACAGCTGGTTACTTGGTCACACCGTTTGTTTGCTTTCATCACTGTCCGGTGATCCCCATCACTTTTGCAAGCAAGCAGAGTCACGGCACAGGTAATTCACACTGCTAGCCACTCGGCTGTTGATTACTTTTCCACCCGTGTGGTAGTTGTGAGGAATCTTCTTTGAAAGTGTTCGCAATTTCCCTAATACTGCCCCCATAATCCCTTTTTATTTTGTTCGGCTGTCTTTATTTCTGTTTTTTTTTGGCGATATAAATTGTGTTGACTCACGTTCGTCTAGCTACGAGCGATCTACCCTCTGCAGTCAAATGTCTTCCAGTTTCTTACATTTTTACACACTCCCGCGTTTCTGTTGTCTCTATAGATTCAACTGGAAACCAGTTTCTCATCACTTAACGACCCCGCATTAATATCACCATTTTATGCGTTCTACATCACCCACAAGAGGGTTCGATCGAACGAACTTGCTCAACTCACGGCAAGTCACCAGAAGGATGTGAGTTTACCGATTCGTTCAGTACTCGAGGTTTCTTCGATTATGTGTTTAGTTGTGCACCATGTTCACTCAGTTGCATTTTTACTCCTTTCATCATCGTGAGTAAACCTGCTTCACGCGAACTGGTCAACTCTGTTGATGTTTTACTGCTACCTTCACGTGTCTTCTCAATTCCCTCTTTTCTCTCCTGCATTATTGCTTACGAACCAAAACGATACAGAGAAGTTGCTGTGACAATGAACGTCCATTAGACACATTAGGCTCATTGGAGCACTGCTCCATCTCACCACGACTGTCTTCGCCAGACGTTGGTTTTTATCTGTTGTATCGTTGTCTAGTTGCTGGCGAGCAGGGTATGGTACGCATCTGGAATGCTCCGCCCAATTCTCCCTTTGGCTCCAAACTGCTTACTTCCGAAGCAGTGCGATTTAATCCAGGATCACCGTAAAACGGTTGCTCTGAGATGAGCTATGTCCGCAGTTCGTAACTGCACTCGCAGATTTCGTGGCACGCTTGATGACATCCATTTCATTTTCGCAACCGGCCTTCTCTACACCAGTCGCCACCACCATATCCTTGGAACTGCTCTGATACACAGCTGCATGGTATTGCTTGTAATCAGGAGTCCGCGCTGCTCGCTTACAAGTGAACATATCGGTTGGATTGATCATCGTGTGTTTGAATTGACATACTTGGCATCGATTGGGATATTGACTTATTGTGTGCGATACTGGAATTTCGATTCTTGGGACCAAACTCGCAATGGACACATTTTCGATATTGTCCAATATTAACATTCCACTCCATCATTAGATACGTTTTTCTTTGAATTCTTCAACAGGAGATAGTCCAGCTGCGTTTCTTATTACGGCGTTATCGACCGGTAGTCGTCGACACTATCCAAAAGTCGCACAGCCAGGCATCCACTACATTTTCGGCCTCGTTCTTCATGATTAGGCAGTATCTTTACTGCCGCACGTTGGCACCGTTATGACAGGAAGCCCATCTTACATTGCTTACGATTGTGTTCCAGCACCAACTTGAATTCCACCTGAACTGCGACCATCATTGTCATTATACACGTTAGCTGGCGGTGGGAAATACATCAGCTGTCATGCAGCAATAAAGTCATTAGTTTGCCTCTCTTCATCCACACCCGCGGCGCACAAACAACGCACGTCGCGGGAGTCGGTGTGCTGGCATACGCAGCATGTGACCCAGCCATCGGAGTCTGGTGAGTGATATAGCGGGGCTAAGCGGTTCACTTCTTCTTCCTGTGCCATAGACAAGAAGCTGAAGAGGCTCATTGCTCACACGGTGTTCCCACAAGATCTGGGACAAACTTCGAAGACATCGGTGGTCGCACGTAACTAGCCTTTTTTTGTCTGCCAATCAAAAGGGGAAAGTTTCACAACCGTAGAGTGGCGTCGAACATACGGTTGCATTATGCACTCTGTCCTTCAGGGAGAGAAAGATTTCGCGGCGGCGCCATGGATGCTGAAGGTTAGCAAAACCGCTTCTTGCTTTTGCTGTACGGCTCGTGCCCTCATCTTCGATTCCACTGGCGTTGATACAGCTGCCTAGGTAGTTGAATTTTTGAACGATTTCTAATTTATCCCCATCAAGGCTCGGCGCGGGAGGCGATCCCTGTCAACCTTAAAGGAACGCTTTGCACTTCGAGAGTGCAAAGTATAGCCCGGAACGCTTGTCTACTGCTGTTGGCACCTTTGTGAGCTGTCACAGGTGAGGAAATGTTGTCAGCGTACTCCAAGTCAAGCAGACGTTCGCCTGGTAACAGCTGCACACCTAAGTCGTGTCCAGTGAATGCGATCGCCATGACTTCGTCAATGAGAAGTTGAAGTGGAAAGGCGACAGCAGACATCCTTGTCTCACACCACTGGAGACATTGAAAGGCGGCGACAGCTTGCCGTAAGCCCTCACTTTGTCCGAGCTACCCGCGTCTAATGCGCGGATAATATTTCCATAATTCTTGGGCACACCATTCTTGAGTAGACAGAGCCAAAGAACACATCGATTCACCGAATCGAAGGCCTCTTTGATGTCGAGGAGAACGACAACGGTGGGCCGCCAGTATATGTGACGGTGCTCCGAAAATTGTCATAAATTACAGTTGTGATCGATGTAGCCCCGACCTAGACGAAACCCGGCTTGCTTCTCACGAATTTTGCCTTCACAAGTTCCATACAGTCTGTGAGGGGTGACAGAGGCAAGTAACTTGGAGGCGATGCAGTTCAGACGGGCTCCTCTATAGTTGCCGCATTCCAAACGCGAGACTCCCTTGTAAATCGGGACAGTAACGGAGCGGCTCTAGTCGGTTGAGGCGGTTTCACTAGTACCTCATGTAATTCATCCACCAGAGCACGTCCTCCTCCTGGATGAAGGTCATATGGTCCCGCGGCCTTCAACAGTTCGATCTCCCCTTCGACTTCTGAGCGAGATGGCTGATCCATAGGGACGGCCTAGGGAGCAGAGCGATCAATGGACGGTGAGAAATCTGACAATTCCGGCCGGTTACATTCTTTTTCAAATTGCTCAGACCAATGCTCCTGAATTACATTACCTGAATATAGATTAGCGATGAGCTTCGAATTGTGCCTATCCTAAACCCCCCTACATCACGACTTTTGTAAAGGTTCGCAGAAAAGTTCATTGGTTTCGCCACAATAAGTGGAAGTGCATCAGTGTTGTTCTCTCTTATTGTTTCTCTTCAACTTTATCTTCAAAATGTTCTTGAATGACTACACCAAGCGCTTTTCACTCACCGTGGGATTACTCTTCTACGGTATGGTAAGTTACCGAAATTGGCGTATACAAACGATGCAGTTGTCTTTAGTTTAGACGCAACTTCTATGCAGACGTTTTGGAATAAGCTGACGCGTAGCGCTGCACACTTTGGCATGTACTTTCCGCTGCTACGGAACTGAGCATATAGTCTGCCAGCATATGTAGTTATGGTAGAACCACTCTATCCTGGCGATTGGTTTGCTTATCTGGGTTGTTGTATTGCTCCGATGATTCAACTACACACCTTTCTAAGACGTGCTGCATTTCAAATCTTTCGTCACTCATGAAGACTGTCAAGGTCATCCACACACAGGCGTGACGTGCGTGCTCCTGGTTCATTTGGATTATTTCTCTCTCTCCGTCTTCTCGCAGCGTTGTCACTACGCTCATTCGAACCGGATTTACCAGCCCTTCACAGTGATCCATCATACGTTGAATTATCTTCTACGATTCAAGTCCATGTCATCACTAACCGTTTTCACTATCATCCTTGATTAAGCGCAAGCGGATAACTCAATCACATTTAGCCGATTGCCTTTCTGTGTGACACCATTCGATACAGAATTCTCGAGGCAGTCCGAAAGGCCTAAGTTTATTCCAATCCGACGTTCCTCAACGCAGCTGTGAAAGAATTTGTGATCTGTCAATCTGTGTTCAGCGCTGTGTTCAGATTCAGTCAGCAGGTTCCAGTCACTCGCCAATCCTTGTGACCTTTTCAGTCAGTGCCTCTGCATACCCCATCACACGGACCGCGCGACCACGCCGGCCGCTTATTTGACCTTGCAACCACAGCGCTCGTCTGACCGATGTGCGCCGCTCTCAAAGCTGGAAAAGTACAGAACGCTAACCAACCCACTGGGTCAGGTAACGACACCACGTTGAATGGCAGAAATGCGAAACCAAAAAAGCTCCAAACGATTGACATTTGCGGGTTAGGAGGATGTCATCGATTAGTTAAACTAGGTTTGGCTTACTTGCACTGTTTGGAATGGAATCATCCGATATGTGTCCCAACAACAGTTACGAGGGCGAAATAGCCCACAAGATGCACTTTGGTTCTGTACTGCGTGCTCGACCATCCCACTCGTTAGGTGCTTGCTTATCCTAGTTCGGAAGTACGACCGGTTAACCGCAGAAGCCGTGCAGAGGACAGACAATAAGATTACTTCAATAGAAGCGAGTATGCACCCCAGAAGCGTAGCGACATCTAAGCAACGGAATGCTGAACAATCCGCTTCCCCTGAACCGCAATCAACCACGTCCCCATCTCCGTCGTCTTCTTCATATTTGGTAGAACGCCGGGCGGAAACTGACCGTACCTGCGAGAATCGAACGGTACTCATGGCAACAAAAATCAGGCACCACTCCAAACGTCTGGTTAAGAAAATTCCACTAGACCTGACATCTAGCATTAACAAGGATGAAGAAGCTGAACACCATCCCTCGATATCTGTAGCTCAAATATCTCTTATCGAGACAACCCCCCTCCCCGGAACATCAGTTATATATGCAGAGATTGCTGCAAAAGTCAGCCGGGAGACCGCCGTTGCGGCCTCTTTTGTTGTAAACACCGTTAACGCGAATAGAGGGACAAACAGTAAACAATCAACACTTATCAACAGGTCAGGACAAACAATTACTCTACCTTGTGGTTCAACGAAAAGAGGGATCCAACAACAGTGCCCGGACTGTTGTATGCTCAGATGTCCCTGAATCTACCACCATCACATTGCGGGGTAAGTTATCGGACGACCAAGAGCAATGGAACTCATTGTGCGTGCTGATGAGTGTCAAAGTCAAGCCCATAAACTTATTACGAATTACTCGTCATCCGAACTCGCCATACTATGGAGAACCCAGGCTTATTCGAATAACACTAGAATGCTCCACCGACGTAGAAAACGTATTGCTCTCCGCAAGCGCGCTAAAACACGGACCCGATGAAATACTCATCTATCCTGATGTTTCTTGGAGTGCGCGACAACCAAAAAGAAACACCGAAGATAGGCACAGCAAGAAAGACCGCCTAAACACAATCTTCATACATGGCATGGCAGAACATCCTTCTAACGATGTTCAAGAGACCGGAAAGCACTATTTAGCACAGTGGCGCTTCATTCGTGAAACACTTTCTTGGATAATATGGTGGCACTATCGCTCACCAGGATACCTCTCTCACCAAATTATAGAGGATG